GGAGCGCCACCGCGCTCCCAAGCGGCGCACTGTAGCAGTGCGCCACCAGGCCGGCCCTGGTATTCTGATTCTGATGACATAAGTTCTAGTTCCATTTTTACTATTTATTGCTTATGAATCCTCGAGTAAGTCACTTAATACATCTTCACCTCTTACAAGGGAAAATCAGGATCATAATTACTATATCCATGTCGCAAGGTTGTTGTGAGGATCTGACTGGACTCTGGATGTGAACATGCTTTGTAAGCTGTAAAGCAGAATGCACTACTGCTCTTACTATTGTCACCATTATGATGTGACACCATTTATACAACAGATGTCTTGCCATCCCGTCATTTGTAGGGGTCGTTAAAGATGTGGTCCCTTGCCATACCTTCTCCATGAAGAGGCATAGGAAAGGCTCTCCAAGGTCTCAGCAACAGAAGCATCAACATTTCTCCTGAGCTACTTTAAAAAATAACGTGTGGACATAAAATCGTACAGCAAATACCATTTCTCTCTTTGCTTTAGCATCTTGTAAACTCAGAACCAAATTAATGGCTCCCTTCAATAAACCAAATGGCATCCATGATTGCTCTTGGATTTATCTGATTTTTCTAACCATAAATTATTTTTATCTCAGTTTCTTAGTTTCCATTTCATACTTTCACAATACCCATTTGACTATTATGATTCCCCAAAATATTTTGGGAACAAGATCAGGCAGAAACAACGAACAAAACAAGTAAATTAAGCAATAATTTGTTATCCTAGACCACTGTCTCTAATTAACCTGGGCCACCTGACAACACAGAATTCACGTCTTTGCAGTAACAAGATTTTAGTTGTATTAGAAGAATCGACCTCTACCACACTCTGCTACTGTGTCCTTATCAGACTGTGTAGTGTTGAGTGCATGAATCAGACAGCTAACCCAAAAATAAGTCATGGGGGTTTGTCCCCAGGCACCCTCGGCAGCATTCCCTTCCTGAGCTGCAGTGGACATGGCTGTGTGCTGCCCTTGACATGTCCTTGCTCCTGGCACGAGGGAGCCAGTCTGGGTGAAAAGAGGGCAA